ATTAGAATACCCAATTACCCAAAGCTCTTGATACCAAATGATAATAACCAAAATGCAAGAACAAGAAATGAGACTTGAAAAGCAAATAAAGAGAGGGAAGCAAGACACAAATATTGATGGGATATTAGTAATAACTAGAATTAAAATTCTAATCATCCTTAATACAATCAACAAAAGTACCTATACTAATAAAATCCTCAAGAGGAAGAAAAATCTCTTGCAAATTCTAGGGCTAGTTCAAAGTCAACCACAAGTCTATCTTCAAGCTCACAAAATACATAGGAATATTCAATATAGTCTAAGAAATTAAAGATGACCTAATATTTTCTATTTATACTAAGGTCTACATAATGGCTAAAAAGACCCTAAGGTGTTTGGTCTCTCCACTTGTAATTGGGCCTCTTCACATGAACTTGGGCCACCATCCTTGAATATCATTTGGATGAAATTGTAGACTCTATTAGGCTTTTCCAAAAGATCATTCAAATCTTCTAACTTCATCAAATGCATCCCAATAATTTGAAGGTCCTTGGTTTGACTCCTAGTGAACGGACTTGAAGGCATAGGCATAATGTGATTAGGTACGTTCGAGGATGAACGTATATTTAAGTGGGGAAGAATGTAACGACCTGACCGGTCGTTTTGAGCATTTGCACTCCGTTCAGCTATTTAAAGTCCCGAGTAGCTTCGTATGATGTATTATGACCTGTGTGAAGCATCGGTTTTGGTTTTTCAGGTGATTAGGAATTTATTTTGAAGAATGATTTTTAACTAGGAAGATTTAAGTTGGAAGAGTTGACCAAGTTTGACTTTTGAGTATTTGACCCCAAATGGATTTTTGATGGTTTCGTTAGATTTATATGGTGATTACGGACTTATGCCCGAATTTTAAATTGGAGGTCCCAAAGTGATTTGACGTAATTTTCCGAAAAATTGTTAACTTTGAAAAGCTTTGAATTCCAAAATTTGGCCATAATTAGATTTTTGTTGATACCGGGTCTCGATTTAGATTCCGAGAGTTCGAACAACTTTGTAATAATATTTATGACTTGTGTGCCAAATTCAAAGTTATTCCGAGGTACGTAGGCACGTTTTCAATTAGTTTTTGAAAAATTAAAAGTTTTGATTTTATAAAACTTGAATTCGTTGCGATACATAGTTTTGATGTTATTTTTGTGTTTTGATCACTCGAGCAATTTGAATCATGTTTTAGGACTTGTTTTCATATTTGGTTGGGATCCCGTGGGGCTCGGGTGAGTTTCAGATGGGTTTTTAACGTGTTTAGTGTTTTGGCATTGTTTTGAGCATAAGCATATAATGATCCGAAGGTCCATTTTTAGTTCTAGAGATCGAAATTTGATTTTGAGACTTCCGGGAGTTTGATAATGATTTATAGGAATGATCTGAAATATTTGGTCTAATTTTATTAAGTCGCGGTTGGGTTTTTACTGCGAAACATGAGTTAATTATTTAACGAGCGAAGTTGGTATCGCATTGAGAAAATGAGCTCTGAATTGAGTTTCGACTAAACGATAAGGTTCGTATTATTATTTGTGACTCATAGGAGCAAGAATCATCGAATTTCGAGTACATATGAGGGAGTTAGAGTCTTTTTAGTGAAAAATAAATTGATGGTGCAAGCAAGTTCTGGTGCGCACCTTTAACGACCTAATTTGGTACCTTTAGCGACCTGATTTGGTACCTTTAGCGACTATATTTGGACTTTTAGCGACCATATTAGTATTTTTATTGGGCAGTTTTTTTTATAAGCTTATTTCAACATTACTGAAGTTAGGAAACTCGGATTTGAACGATTTTTGAGAGGATTTCCATCATATGGATTGGTTTTTGAGCCGTTCGGAGGTTGGTACGCGCAGGATGGCATTTTTGGAGCATCGTTTGGTTTGCTCGGTATTGGATTTGGCTTGTTCGAGGTAAGTAACACTTCTAAACTTGGCGCTGAGGGTATGAACCCCGAATATACGTGTTATGTGTTTGGTGTTGAGGTGACACACATGCTAGGTGACAAGCGTGTGGGCATGCACCATGTGTAATTATGACTCGATTGATTCTATGGTACTGTGTAGTGACATAATCTTGTTTCTATTCATGAAATTTCTACGGGCTAGAGTAATTGAGCTATGATCCATGTTAGAAACCATGTCTAGGCTATATGCTTATCCTGTTGAGACCCACTGAGGTCGTTTATGCTGTTGAGTTATTTTCTTATATTACAATAACATACTCAGTCATACTCATTCATTTGTATATCATACCTCAGTCTCTGTTGCCATTTATTGATACATCATATCATCATTTTGGGCTGGTTTTTATGACATTGTGAGCCCGAGAGACTGGAGAGATTGATGACTGAGTTGAGACCTGAGAGCTGGATTGTGAGTGATATTGATGGGACCGGGTTGTACGCCGCAACAGGTATTGTTGATTCATGATAGGATCGGACTGGACATCGCAATATGTAATATTGATTCATGATGGGATCGGATTGTACGCCGCAATAGACTTTATTGATTTATGCCATGATTGGCTTATTATAGTGCTTGGGCTGGATCTACCCCTCCGGAGTCTGCACACCCACAATGAGTGTAGTTGCTATTGATTCATTTAGGCTGGATCTGCCCTGTACAGTGCTGAGTGACTGGGAGTGTTGAGGGCTGGATCTGCCCCGTTCAGTGCTGAGTGATTGAGTGTGTTGAGTAATTGCGCGTGATGAGTAAAAAATGTGAGACAGTGAGATTGAGTACTCTGAGAGTATGAGTACATGAGTTCATCACTGTGATGCATTACATTTGACATGCATATTTGACATACATGCATAAAGATGCATTTCCTTATGCTACACTGTTTTTGGTGACATTTATGATTTCACGTGCACACTGATATGTAGGCATAGAGAAGTACTTTCCTCATGCTATCTGATAATGAAACATCTTATTTATTGTTGAAAGGTTTTGAAAAAATCACAGTTTTTTTTTCTCACTCATATTTTGGTGATTTCGGTGAAGGATTTGGGTTTTAATGTTATACTTGAAAAGCATGACTATTTTTCCGTAACTGTGAATGAGCTAAGCTCCATATCTCTGAGTTATTTCTTTTATCACTTTTATTATATTGTTATGAACTGTTGTTGGCTATTGGTTTTGGACTCCGACCTTTGTCCCAACTCGTCACTACTTTCAACCTAAGGTTAGGTTTGTTACTTATTGAGTACATGTGGTCGGTTGTACTCATACTACACCTCTGCACCTTGCGTGCAGAATTTTGATGCTGATGTTGCTATGTATGGCGGGAGCTGGCATTGAAGACGTACATGCGTTTCGGTCATTACTGCCTTTTGGTCTTGGTGGCTTTAGAATTATTAATCTGTTCATGTATACTTCAAACAGAGGATGTATTTATTTCATAGCAGCTTTGTAAACTCTAAATCTTAGAAGCTCATGATTTATACTATAAGTCTTTGGGAATTATTTGTATAAAAGCACAATTGTATTATTATTACTTCTCTTAATGAATCTCATTGGAATTGATTTATTGTTAATTGGCTTATCTAGCGAGTTGGGGTTAGGTGCTATCACGACTAGTTGGATTTTGGGTCGGGATAAGGGTGGACAAATTTCTCTTAAATGGAGACAAATTTTGTGACTTTCTTACTTTAACCTGTTAAAATCCATACGTGGACACACATAAAAGAACTATCAACTTGCTAAAGAAAAATGAGAAGTATGTGCCTCAAACACGTACAATGAGAGGAGTAGACCTATAATTGATACATCTCTCCGATGCAGAGCAACTAAATCTTGGTCAGTTAAGATGAAGGGGAGGAATTCGATCTTCACCCTCCCAATGGAAAGAGCAAAAGTTCGTCCCTGTTTATAACTAAATCATGGGGAGCCCAAGGTAATTTACTAGACAAATTGAATTGTTCTATCATCATGATACTAATCGGATATGCCGTAAACACTCGAGAGAGATGTCATGAGGCAAATTAAGACAAAAGACTTAAGGAGACAAGCAGTAAAAAGTTATTCTCCTTGTCACCTTTTTGACATTTTGGCGTTGATAAGAGTTAGGTGGTGGAGCAATCATCAATTATATAAGCAGCTGTATCAAATTATAATTATGCGTTATGATTGCAAACAGACAAACAGGTACTAATTTGCTTAGATTTAGAAAGCCATGCGTGAAGTCTTTACTTGGCTATCACCCAATGGCGATGAACGGAGTAAGGAAATTTCAATTTGGAACAAAAAAATTTAAATGGTTTAAGGTTTTCTACACCTTACTTCTCTCCCCTATGGCCGTATTTAAGATTTACAGAAGGAACGCAAACGATTTAAGGAAAATTTTATCGTTACAAACTTCATTATATTGTCGTGAATTAAATAAGAGAATTCAATAACAAAAAAGCTTAAGAGTTTTAATGGACCAAATTTGCCCTCAAAGTATGCGCGTGGAATCAAATATGCGCACCACATGGGGCCGTTAAAATAAAGGCATATTTGAAGCAAATTTTTGACGGCAGAAGCATGTTTGTGCCAAAGTATTAAGGACGAGCAAATTAAAATTTCTCAATTTCGCATAGTTCACATATTTGGACGTTTTCCATAAGTTAAATTGTGACAATATACCGATATTTTATTTGCGCAAGATTGAACGAGCCACTCGACTAACACCTACCTCAATGACAGATGCTTTGCCGACGCTGAGAACCAGATTGTTCTAGCTAACCAAAATGAGACATGGATATTGTAAGTCATAATTACATGCATAATAACAATTGCTTAATAAATTTCAAATGTTAACCACGATAGATATCCCATGTCTGCTCAAATCAGTACCCTTTTGAAAGTTTGATTAGGCATAAAGCTGAACAGAGAAAAAGTAACAATTAATAAAAATCTTATAGCAGGAAATGCTTAGAAAACACTCCACTATCTATTACAAACATGCATGCCATCAAATTTACTATTCGAGCTAATCATTTCAAGTAGACAATTAATCCATTAATAAGTACAGACCTTTGGACCTCTCCCTATAAACAAGCTTTGGAATCGTTTCGTGCTTAGACATAAGCCATAATAGTATTACAATTCCTAGCAGGCTTAAAGAACCCATGGCACATTTTGTTCCATTGTTGAGCACATTGCTTATTTTCTCCATCTACTATCAAGGGAATGCACTTAGTTCAAATTACTATGCAAAAACATGCCCTCAAGCTGAAGACACAGTAATGCAGATTGTAAAGAAGGAATCAAAGAAAGACAAAACGGTGCCCGCAACCCTTCTGAGGATGCATTTCCATGATTGTTTCCTACGGGTATACAAATTAACAGTACTAACATTTTCAATGTTTATCTTCCTGTAGATTAGCTAAACTTTTCTTAAAAATTCCCCCTATTCTACCTTTTTGAAGGGCTGTGATGCTTCTATTTTGTTGAGCTCCAAGGGGAAAAACACTGCAGAAAAGGATGCTCCTCCTAATGGTTCTATGCATGGATTCTACGTCATTGACGGCGCAAAGAGAGCAGTTGAAGCTATATGTCCTGGCGTTGTCTCTTGTGCTGATATTTTAGCGTTTGCTGCAAGAGATGCAGTCGTGTTAGTAAGTACCCCCACTAGGACAAAAAACATAAAAAAGCATATAAATAGGATAAGTTTTCTACATTACATATTACGTGAACGCGGAATGCCTTTTTAACATATGAGTTTAGTAAATAAGTGCGGCTAAGACATAATGATCAAGATGGCCTAAAAGTGTGTCTATATATATATATATATGGACTATGGTATACATGTTAACAAAATCGAAATTCCATTAAAATTGGTACTACTAAAGTAGAGACTCCGAAAATAAGGACTAATTGTGTTGATGTTTCAGTCAGGTGGGCCTTACTGGGAGGTACCAAAAGGAAGAAAAGATGGGCGAATATCTAGAGCCACTGAAACAACACTGCTGCCCAAGCCTACATTCAACATTTCTCAGCTCCAACAAAGTTTCCAACAGAGAGGTCTTTCGGCCGATGACTTGGTGGCTCTTTTAGGTCAGCATTATATAACAATTAATGCTCCAAAATTTTGTCGAATTAATTTCTTAAATGGTCTTCCAACTTACAATTTTCGCACGATCTTCTCTCTATACTTTTGTTAACTGATAGAATTATATATTATCTTTGGCAGGTGCACACACTCTAGGTTTTTCCCATTGCTCATCCTTTATTAGCCGAATATACAACTTCAATGCCACACATGACATTGATCCTACACTACGTCGATCGTTTGCAGCAAGCTTGAAGAGCATATGTCCACTCAAAAACAGGGCTAAGAATGCAGGAATAAGCAATGATCCTTCCCCAACAACTTTTGATAATACTCATTACAGAATAATTCTCCAAAAGAAGAGTTTGTTCTCTTCAGATCATGCTTTGCTCACTACTCCAAAAACCAAGAACCTAGTTTATAAGTTTGCTACCTCAAAAGCAGCTTTTCATAAGGCTTTTACTAATTCCATGATTAAGATGAGTAGCCTTACAGGTGGTCAAGAAGTTAGAAAAGATTGCAGGGTAGTAAACTGATTGCTCCATTGTTAATTAATTCTACTTTGCGGTTTGATATCTGTATAATTGTAATGAGATGATCCAGGAATATGGGCTGTCTATCACTTCCTATATTGTCTTAGTTTCATTTTATTTCAATTGATGTTTTATACTTCTGCCACACAATAGGGGTGATTTGAGTGGTATCCAATTTTCGCATGCACTGATTATAGAAGGACCTGGTTCTTTTAAGAGTTTCTTATACTACTGTTGCGAAAATAGTAAATGCGGAAAGTAAAGAACACAAGTATTTTTATGTGGAAAACACCCGGCTCAAAAGGTGAAAAAACCACGACCTACAACTCAGTAGGATTTTCCCCAACACTTCACTAAATTACTGAGCCAAAACATCATTTACAAAACTCTTTGTAAACCTAAGGATTACCTCTAATCCCGTTGTGACAACCAACCTCTAACTGTTGCGACAACTTCAAGTTAACTCTAACTTGAATACTCAGAGTACCTAATACACTTGTCTCTAGATAAAGCTGAAAGGTACAATTTGAAAAGCCATACTACAATTGAACTAGAATAAAAGACAGACATTCGGAACTGGTTCTTCTATCTGGTTCATGTAGCTTCAGATTCGCACGCTTGAATCACACAAGAATTGTTTGCAAAATGCCTTGCTATTTTACGCTCAACTCACGTTTAACTTCAGTGTTTGTGCGTACCTGTAGAATGAGAACCTCATGCAATTTATAGAGTTAGTAGAAATAACTAGAGTTCTAATGTTATACTCTTCCATGGTGGAAGAGTTTTAGTTATCTTCAACTTCTAACTCATCCCTTATCTAGGATAGAGTTCTCTTCGAGTAAGGAGTCCTTCTCCTTATCATTTATGCAACCTTTTCGATCAGAAGATATCAGATATAACAACCTAAGCTTATCTCCTTCACGTGCATCCCGTATGCTCGAATCTGCCCGTGTCTGTGTACCCTGTGTATGGACCTGGTTCATACTCGAGTTCCTTTGTCAATCATCAAAACAAACTTCACTTGGGTCAACAAATTCCCCCTTTTTGATGATGACAAACTCTGTGCTTTTCATAAGCATATGTCATGTGTCAACTTAACTCAACATCAACACAATGTTAGAACACTTTCCATTTTAAAGTCACAAATCATCAAGGACCAGGTTCATTAGGTTATAAGCATCATAGTCCAAAGTAAAAAAACACAACCTATCTTCCTCCTTTTGGCATTATCGAAAAGTTGCATAATTATGTTAGATAACCAGATTTTAATATAAATTACTCATGGCCACTTAGGCTACTTCAAATGCAATCATGGAGTCAAGCATTATTTATCAATCTAATGATATTAGTCAAACAAGAAGCATCAACAAACAGTTAGAGCAAAAAAACAGTTGATTATCATTGATACTAGTCATCCACAAAGCATAAAAAGAAATAAAAACACTGGATCATGAGCAAAAAGATAAAAAAGAAATCTGATCCGGATCACTGGTTTGTCTAACTAAGCTAGGAAGGTTTTAAGGTTGGGAAGGACTAGGTTCTTAGTTTTTGTCTTGAAGCAGTTTAGGCATATCATGAAGAATGCCATCATTCTTCTCTTTTTCCTTTGCCAGCTCTGATAGCATCTCTCTCAGTTTCTCCTTCTACCAACCTCTATTTCAGCCTTTCAATTTCATCATCCTTAGCCCCACTTTCTTGCACCAAGGCTCGCACTTTGCTATTCACAAGTACCTTCTTGGATGAACCAGGTTCTTTGGGAGTGGTGTGGACTTCATAGTCACAAGCAATCAAAGTGTTTGCCCTAAACTGATCCTTGTTTATACCAACTTCCCATTTCTTGATGGGTACCTTGAAGTGTGCAAGTATAGCCGTGAGAATGAAACCATAGGGTATGGCATGAGTTTTGGTGCCAGTCAGAACCCTATCGAGAAGCTTGATGATAAATCCGGGCCAATTGATTTGCCTCCCACTGTCCAGATATTCCATAAGGACCAGGTCCATGAATGTGGCAATGTGCCTCCTTTCCTGCCTAGGCAGCACAACTTTGTTAACAAATTCGAACAACACTTTGTGGGGTGACTTCATCTCACTTTTGTATATAGCCTTGGGCTCAAGCTCTTCTTCATTGTCACCAAACTTTCTTGTAATGGCAAGGGCATTAGGGAGATTCTCTAGACTTGGCCATTTGAGTTTCTTGTAATCATATTACCCTGAAACAGGTACGCCTAAGATCTCTCACAGTTCTTTGTCATCATAACTCACTGTCACCCCCTTCACTACTGGTGACTACCATTCTTGATCTCACAATTTGCCATGAACTCCACAATCTCAGTTCTAGCAAGCTTTCCATCCATCTGAAGGACCATGTCCTTCCAACCTTGCAATTGTAATTTTTCCAGCAGCATCACCATGCCTTCTTCCTCCAAGTTCCTCAGGAGTCTACCTTTCAAGATGGTTCTTTTCCCAAGCTTAACCATCTTTTCCTTCTCTGCATCTTCTTTTTCTTCTTGTTCTTCTTCTTCTTCTTCTTCTTCTTCTTCTTCTTCTTATTATTATTATTATTATTATTATNCTCCATTCTTCTTCTTCCACTATTTTTACTTTTCTGGACTTCAAGGCAGACTTGGTTCATTTGGCCAAGGTAGATGGCCCTGCAGACTTTGTCTTTGAAACAAACTTCTTTATGGAAGTCTTGATCTTCTTTGCCTTTAGAGTCACAAACTCCATTTCTTCTGCCTCTTCTTCATCATGAAGAACCAGGCCCATCTTCTCAATTTTAACTGCCTCAACAGGCTCGCCCACCTTCTTCTTTCCCTTAGTATCAACTTTTCTCTTACTTTCTTCTAAGGCCTTTTCCAGTTCAGCCTCACTGTGCTTCTTCTGTCTCCTTGTAGCTCTTCCTCTTGTAGGAGGAGTCTCTACAAGGATAGACGAGGCAACCTTTCTTTTCTTGTTTGCCCTAGCAGTACCGGGGACTTTAACTGCTGAACTATTTTTCCTTTTAGAATTGTAATTGTCAGACACTTTTCTTAGTAGGTCCTTGAGGGGTTCCTGCACAGAAGGAACATGTTCTTGAACCTTCTTCCCCAATCTAACCAACCCTTCAGCAACTTCTCCAGACCCACTTTCCCCTTTTTCTCTCACACTTTGTTCTTTTCCAGCTGATTCCTCACACCATACTTCCATAGCTCATGTTCCTTCGGTCAAACCAACAGGAGTGGGTGAAGATTCAGCCACTCCTTTTCCCATTCCCCTCACATTGCCTCGAGCACCCTCACTGTCCTTTTCTTTCCTTTTATTTTTACCACCAATCTTCTCAGACTCAACAATCTCTACCCTAGCCACAGTTCCTACCAGAACAAATCTAGTTTCCATATTTGCAGCAACCTCTGAGATTACTTCAGATGTAACTTTAGGACCGGATGTTTTCTGCTCTATTTCAGAAGAAACAGTTTCTTCCCCCTCAGTAGCAGACTTGAATAATTCATCAGATTTCTGGGGTTCATCTACCTGCCCTGACTTCAGTTTATCATTGATTTTCTTAATTTGTTATCCTCCAGTGACTACTTTACGAGCAAGCATCTTGAATCTTCCTTTCTTGTAGATAGGTGTGGTTGAAGGTATGGTAGAAGGAGTGGGTATGGATTCTTTGGGTGATGATGAGGGATTCTCAGAAGTGTTTTCCATTGATGTGTTTGGTTATGAGAAAAGATGAGTATGTGTGTGTTTGGAAGATGAGAGAAGATAGAGAGAATTGTTTGATGGCTTAGACTTTGAAGTGAAGAAACAACTAAGGCCTAATCAATTTAAAGAGGTAGAGTTTAATTGGGTAACAACTACTTTTTTAGAAGTTTAGAGGTCTAATCAAACTGGGAGTTAGTTTGAAGAGACGTTTATGATTATCCCAAGAATCTAGGCACTTATTGCGTTTTTGGGATTCTTTTGAATGAAACCGGTTCATTTCGTAACAGATAAGCTCAAGGAGGTTAGGATTAAATGGGACTCTCCATTTGATCATAATCCAAATATAATTATTTCAAAATATGCTGAGTGAAGAATATGTACCATGTAATCTTGATGAACCAGGTTCTTCACTGAGAAATCTCTTGTGTAAGTTTGAATTTTCCAAGAAAATAAAGATAATATAATTAGATATTAATGAGACATTTTAGCACATGGCACACGAGTATACTGATGAAAGTATAAGACTGAGCAAAATCTAATCTAATTATGTAAACAAATTCACAGTTTTTCTAACCAATTTTTGAGTTAGAACTGGTTTCTTTTAGGTGATCTTAATCATCCCTAATTCTAACATGTTCCTTTAAAAGTGATCTCTACTTAAAGCTTTTGTGAATATGTAAACTATTTGCTTGTCAGTAGCACAAAATTCCACAGTGATCAAACCCTTCTCATAGTTGTCCCTAAACAAATGATGCCTAATATCTATGTGCTTAGTTCTCTTGTGATGAATCAGGTTCTTGGTCATACTAATTGTACTAGTGTTATCACAAAAGATGGGAATACGACCTACATCAATTCCAAAGTCCATTAATTATTGTTTAATCCACAACAATTGAGCATAACATGAGGCAACAACAACATACTCAGCTTCAGCAGTAGATAAGGCCACAAAAGTTTTCTTTTTAGTGGCCCAAGACACAAGACATGAGCCAAGAAAGTGTGCCATACCTGAGGTGCTCTTTCTATCCACAAGAAAACCTACATAATCAGTATTAACATATCCCACTAAGTTAAAATTACCACCTTTTGGATACCATAGACAGAGGTTAGTGGTGCCTTTTAGGTATCTCAAGATCCTCTTGACAGCAGTCAAGTGAGACTCCTTTGGATTTGCCTGAAATCTAGCACAAAGGCCTACACTGAAAATAATGTCAGGTCTGCTAGCAGTGAGATATAACAAAGATCCAATCATTCCCCTATACAACTTCTGATCAACAGATGGACTAGGTTCATCTATATCCAATTTTGTGGCTGTTGCTATAAGAGTGTCAATATTTTTGGAATCTTCCATTTTAAACCTTTTAAGCAACTCTTTCACATATTTCTACTGATGGATCATAGTTCCATTTGAATTTTGTTTAATTTGTAAGCCTAAAAAGAAATTAAGCTCAC